AAAATTTAACTGGAAATGGGCAGGGTATGCTGCAAGAAAAGCCTATCAATCATCGTTGAATCGTTGGGCATGAACGGCATGCGTATGAAAGTATGTAGAATGGAAAGCCTAGTTACTTCTCTTTGCATGTGAACGGAGAGGCAGTGGAACAGGTGGAAAAGTTCAAATACGTCTGGGTCATTTTTTGCTAGTTATGAAAGAGGTTATTTTCGTACTGCAATAGCCAGTTGCGTTCTACGTGAATTAGTGCGAACCTTTATGACCAGAGCGGAGCTCGGTCTGAAATAGAAGCTTCTGTTCAAGTCGATCTCCATGCTCACCTTTGGTCATGAGTCGCGGGCCGTGACAAAAGACATCGCTCCCGGCTGAAATGGACTTCCTGAGACGAGTCTCTGGCCTTGTGCGTCTTGACATGATCCAGAGTACAGAAATCCACAAGAGCCTTGGTGTAGAGCCGCTGCTTCTTTTGACTGAAACGTCATGGATACGATGGGTGCTTGGACACGTTTTGCGAATGCTTCCAATAAAGAAGGCGGAGCAGCTCGTGCCTACTCGACCGACTGACTGCAGATCCTGGGATCGGTTAAAAATCACTTGGGGCATGTGCCTTGAAGGCCCCTACTCCAGACCCTGATAATCTCTTGCTGAAGCTCAGACGTTGTCACAGGATAAAACCACTGGTGATATGTGTGACGCTGCAGTCTTTACTTCCACAAATGATGATTGGTCACCAAAACTGACTGACTGAAGTTATATTTGTTATTTTATTAATAATTATATTTGGTTTTCTTCGCACAAAAATTATTTATTTCTTTTGTTCACCTTTTTTTGTAGTAAATTATGACCCTAGCTTGTATCGGTGCAACAGCTGAGCCGTTAACGGACAGTTTTTCTGTTCATTACAGACTTTTCTTTTATACTTCAGTAGCCTTGTTTTTATGCCTATTAAATTTTATCTTTCTGTTTCAGGTCCTCGAATGGTGCTTGAAGTGATTCGCATTTACAGCGGAACTTTCGGGGGCCCTGTTTTGTACAGCAACTCGGAGTATCAAAGTCCGAATTTGCTACGACGGCTTCAAAAGCTATCCAGCGCAAATAAATTTGAAGAAAACGTGGGCCGTAAGATCGCTCATGAATTGCGCGTCGAAGAAACGCCTGTCTCTTATCCGATCGATAGCAGGGAAGAGGTATTCACCGAAGAGCCAGAGGAGCATGTTGAGTCGAAGAAGAGCAAGCAGAAACTGTTATCGTTGAAGAAACGAATCGAAAAATTTCCTCGGCGTGTACGTGCAAAGAAAAATAAATAAATCTGACAAATTATTTTTGTGTTTAATTTTTGTTCTTGAAAGAGAATACATCGATTTTAAAATAGTCGAATCGATATTCATAGAAAAATATTGTGTTGGCGCAGCCAGGTTTTGCATCCAGTCAGTCAACCGTCGTGACCATGGTAGAAAGTTTAAAACATGTTCTGCAACAAATCCTGTAAATTAGAACAGCTGTAAACATGGTGCACTTGGTTTATGCAAATGAATCGTCAGCAACTCTGTAAAGCCTTTTACATCCGGGGCAGTAGTTTCTTTCATGAGGAACCGCGTTCAAATCTCATCTGCAACATAAAAGTTTTGCCTTTGTACTGCGGAATCTTTTCAGCAAGTTTACATAGCTGTTTCGTTGCTTCTAGTGGCCTGGGAGACATTTTAAGCAGGTTACTGCTTTACGGTATTTTTAGTAAAACTACATATTTGAGCAGGGCTGAACAAAAACGTGTTAAGACACCTGCTGAAATGCTGCAATCCATGTAGTGCATAGCTAAAATACCTTGTCACCGTGACCGGGCCACTAGAAGTAAGATAATAGTACACCTATGCCGTATAAATCCGGAGAATCAGCCGAGAATATTATTTTTTTACCGGTGGTATCGAAAATAGCAGTTTGCTAGTAAACCCTATGTCTAAGTGAGATACGAGTAGGTAAGCCTTTAAATTATGATATAGTTTAAAATATAAACCTTTGTAATATGAATCGTCCAGTGATAAAAATTTATTTTTGATGTTTAATTCTTCAAGCAAAATTCGCAGAGTTTTAGAATAGTTGCAACAACGATAGAAACCAATGCCAAGGTATTTTTTTTTCTGGCGAGTTTGTCAGACGCCACAGACCACCACCCTTGACCTATGGCAGGAAACATATCAGGAGTTATAGCCACTGACATTTTGAATTGGAGGACTCCGTGGCCAGAAGGCGCAGGCATCAAATGGCATGACCGTATGTCCTGCACGCTTTGGCAGGATCGTGGCAAATCAGCATGCTGTATTTATTATTTGAGGGTCAGCTACCTGCTGCCCATTTTACGGCTGGATGCACCAGAGCACGATGGAGTGAATTTCGTGCTTAAACAGAATTTGCAGTTAATAGGAGAAACTGGCTTTAAAGTGCAAAGCAAACCACTAATCTATTTCACCATTGCCCTCTCCGCCTCCAATATGTTCATATGAAAATTGAAGAGAGATTTTAGAAAGGCTGAAAGAACGTAATTGAGACCTCGTCTGATAAGAGACGCCAAACCGATTTTGCTAGTTCAATAATCGGCGGAATATATGCACGTCTCGGTACTTCTGACAGCATTCTCGTTGCCTGCCATCGGCTTCACAGGGTTCGTACACGATGATCGTGCTGATGGTATCCATGGTGTCAGAATCAGTGGTCGTTCAGTGAAGGCTGTTCAGTTTCTTTCGTGCCCTTAATCGCTGAAGTAGAATATTTACTTTGTTTTTCTCCGTTGGCAATAAACCTGCATGAGGTTTCTATGACACACAAATGATTCTTTAACATATTGTAAAGTAAATGGTTGCAACATTCTAAGCACTTCCGTTTGTTCACTTTGATTTTGTTTACATATGACTCATCCATGCAAAATGTAAATAATGATTTGACCACGGATGTGATATCTTATTTTCTTTCCTTAACCTGAGTGCATTCGGTTCCAACTTGTCCTGCGAAGTTAACGTTGCACCAGGATCCAAACAATCTCTTCCTGGGGTGCTGTCATGCTCAAACTATGAATTGGATATCGAAGTGAAAACTCGATGGTCAGCGTTTCCAGCTTGTCCGCGTTTTCGATCAATGGATTGCGGTCTGAAACAGGCGGTGTGCCAACGGTTGTGAAAAAAACCCGGTGTTTAGGAATTGTTAAGCTACTTCACATCGTATGTTCTTTTGTGTTTTATCACTGATATAGTCCAGTTTTAGCTGCTCTACGCACTAATCGCTGTTTTCGTCTTCCATCAATGTTTTCAAAGTTATTCCCTGCCGTACTGCTACCTTCCTGGAGCAAGTGCCTTTGCTCTACAGAACATTCCTATGACCGTAGCTTTGCTTGGGGCGTTGGTTTATGTTTTACAGCTCATGACATGGATCGTCGTCGTACCATCGCCTCGTGCCAGCACGTGCAAGGCGTTAATTAAAACGGTAAATTTGCGCATGTTTCGACCTATGCTTTTCTGCTGTGCAAAATGTCACTGGTGGCATACTGTAGTTTAGAAGCTACAGACTGGCAAAAAAACCTTTAATTGTAATTTCGTAGATCGCACACGCGTCAGAGGTGGCGTGAAAGTGCAATGAAGCATAACTTATGTAATACCACGTAGGCCAACCGTATTGCTAGAAAGCTAAATCTATGCGTATGTTATGGTTTAAAATTTGAAATATTTTTTTGGCTGAACTTTTTATTCATGTTGCTGTCAGTTTGTGTCGGCAATAGATCCTGTTGCATGAATCGGAATCGCTTCCTGCTGAAGATATACTGACTTGTTGCTCACTGTTTATTTATTTAGACGAAATACGTGACTTTCATACATTTATCCATTTGTCCATTCACTCATGGTGTAACAAATTTCATGACTGATGCTTCAGGCTTAGTGATTGTTTGGTATTATGTTTTTTCTTTGTTTACACGACTGACCAAACAGATTCGTCATTTGGTCGTCCCAACGTGTTGATGGACGAACGACTGAACGTCAGTGGCCGATGGGAATCAAGTTGGTAACTCGGTAGGTCCACCTGTTGTCCTTCAGACGAGCCACGTGGCCGACTTATCTTTTCTTCGAGTGGTACGCGGCAGTGAGTACATTTAAAACTTGTGTCTGATTTTGAACTATCACACTTGGAACATGGTTTCAAAAGGAGACCTCGCACCTTCTACTTTACACCGCCCTCTGCATTACTACTAGTTTCTTTGCCTCAGCCTCGATGGTAGACTAACTCTCTGGGCCGTGAATTCTGACAGGTGGAACGACATAATCGAAGAGTCATTCCTTCATGGTCATGGATAGTTTTGATGTGATTGAAACTTACTCATGCCGCCTTCCTTTTTCTCCTGATCTCGCCGTTTATGGTGTTCGGCACGGTCTCTGAACGTTCAGCAATAAAAACAGTATTTCTGTATGGAGCTGAACGCTGAATCACTCTTACGAGGCCAAAGAAATATCTGATATCATACCTTGACGAATCTGTTGTGTCAACAAGCAAAATTACACTGAAATAAATACGAAAGTAGTACTCTGGCGATACCGCCACTAATAGAAATGCGGTCAGAAAGGAGAACCCAATTGGCTCTGCAAAAAACGACCAATGAAATGCATATTCAGTTTAGTGCAGAAACAGTGATTTCAGGGAAGAGTAGAAGGCGATGTTGTAAAATGTCGCATGAAGCCGTTAAGCCATAAGCCACTCAATTCTTAGCTAATGATTGAAAAATGTTCCAGAAGTTGATTCGTACACTGGATCTACGCAACAGCGATTATGTCAAAAAGAATACTGGTCATTCGTTGCTCAAACCACCATGACAGTCTGCAAAATTTCTCCCGTATTTATGATCCAAGATCCTGAACCATGTCTGTTTCCTCGAAATTTCCTAGTTTCATTGATTTGGTTCCAGAAACATCTTTCGTTTGCAAATCGTAGACTGTTTGAATGACGACATGTTCGTGCTTTCTTGAATGAATAATATTTATGGTACTCTGAACGATTTTTGTTCGATTTTGTACTCAGCGTATCATACTCATCGAAACATTTGCTTTGAATACATTATAACGTCTATCAGCTGCTTACAACCACTTGAAACTAAAGTAAATGAGTTCTACTTACTGTCATCAACCCAATTCATTCTTTTCTTTATGCACTTCACGTGATGAGTCATGTGGAGAGTCATCCTTGTGGCCATGTTTTTTTTAGAAAAAGCAAGTATATGAGACCAGAGCTTGTTGGAGGCCACTGAACGCTGAAGCAGAGGCTGATCGTAAGAGACTTTGAGCCCGACGCATGCTTATGGCCAGATGTTTACCGTTCTCTCTGGTGATGTTGCCATTTCCAAAACACCCCTTGCTGTCATTTATCTTAAAAGCAAATTGATTTTCAGTCATTCTTCGCTTCTGCGATAAACCTCTGATTTGCACCGCAATTTAGGACTTGATCCTGAGCCTGGTATTCCTGGCGTTTGATTTCTTAGCACTGGCAATCGAACTATGCATGCTCTACCATCTGATAATGTACTACCTCTGCAATTTTTGTGGCACGCTGTTCGCTTGGTCGGCCGCTTCGGTAAGCGTTTATAATCTAACCATAAATACGTTTCAAATTAATGTATTTAGGCATTTTTTGTCGTAAGCATTATCTTACATACTTGGAATGCAGTTGTTTGTCTTACTAAAACGAAATTCGAATATGCAATAAATCCTTTACCGTAGACAGCTGTTTTTGATTGCCATTTTTATGATTTCGCAATAAATTAATGTGACCTTGCTTTTGCAAAGCATGTGATTTCAAGGAGACTTCATTCTCTACTGCAGCATTTGTCTGAATCGACGATTGTTGGTATAAATCAAAATGTTAAAAATCACACAATGCATGTAGGAAACAAAATCACTGTAAGTGTTCAACGAGCATCTATATTGTTTCAGTCACAACTGTAGAAATGCCTTGCAAATGTGCCTGGCTCGCACCTTAGTCAGTTATGCTATTGGCGAGCATCCTGAGAATGGAAAATGATGGTTAATCATCAGAAAAACGGTGGCTTGACGCCATGCTTGACAAATGGCAGCGTTGAATTTTAAAAAATAGCACCATTCAAGGTACTTTTGTCGTCAAGACCAACCACGGATTTGTCATAACTTCATTCTACTGAACGCAGGATCAGGCTCTTCATTGCCCATGCCGCTGTAATGATGTTTCCTAGTTTTTTTTTCGTTTCTTTCATGAAGATGAGTCAAAATAATTAGAAATATCAGAGGTTTATAAATACCTCGTTAT